GAAATGCAGGCACGCAAAAATTGTAAAAACGAAAACTGTAGCACTGAACTAGACCATGACTTAGCAAGGCATTTCGAGCTAACGCGTGCCGCACATATTTAATAAATGTCTAACCAAAAGACTGGCCGCGGCTGTGGTTAGGGAACCACACACCATTTCGGTGCGCTCGGAGCGTTGAGGCTTGGCTAAAATACTCGTACTCGTACTTTCATATCAACCCAGTTTGTATGTAAATTTTTTATGTGGGCAAGCAAGCAATTCGTGTACTTTAGGCGCACGTTTTGCATACAAATTGCTAGCAATTTTCACTAACGACAATTAGAAATGCCAAACCAAACCGAGTTTTTGGGCTGGTTGCATGAATGTGTGTTGAATGATATCAATAAAAAAATATGAGTTATTGCGCCAAATTGAGATGCATTTATGGGAGAGACGTCTGTCTGCTGACTACATACACTTTTTAATGGAGCGCTCAGTTGATGAGTCGCCGCTGATGAGTGACAGCGCTTAATAGCTTTCGGTTGTTGATGGGTTAAATTAGTGTCCATACCATATTCATATTGATTGCTGGCAATATATTTAATCACTTTGCTTGACGGCATAATCATTTGGTCATTTTCAGTTTCAAATGGTCGTTGACATGCCTGATAATGACGTTGATGATAGTTTTACATATAGCCATCGATTGCACTGCTGTGGTGAAGTTGGCTATTAATGATGGTTTATTAAGGTTATTGTATATGGACATTAGTGTGCCTCACCAAAAAAAAAAGTTGCCGCTTTTTCAACGGAATTATATAATTTATTATATTTGAAGACATTCGCCAAATTTTTTTCGGAAATTTATTACGATTTACATAAGTGAGATCGATTTGAAATAAAATTAATCAAAAAAAAATTGTTTTATCGAAAAGTCATCTCAGCTTAAACTCTTCTATCATCTGAGGTGATTTTTTGTAAAACAAAAATATTTTTCAAAGCAAGTTTTATTAATAAAAAATCTTGGTTTTTGAATGAATTTTTCAATCGATCCAGCTCACTTAAATCTTACTACTTCAAAGAAATATCTCTAATCTATAATAAATTTTTTACTAGCTCCGATGAAAAAACGGTAACGATTTTTATAAGTTACAAGCTTTTATTTAATTTTCTTTGTATGTCTGTCTGTTTGGATAAAATCTTGCAATAAATTTTTAACAAAATTTCCGATGAGTTAGGTTGCAGAAAGAGTGAAGACGAAGCCGAAGACGAATTGCTTGCGTTGCGGCCAAGGTGGCGAGTGTACATATGTAGTGGAAGAAGAATGATATGAAAATTTTTTTCTAAATAAAACCTTTTTTTATAGATAAAATTAAAAGAAAATAAAGAAAAAACAGCAATTCATTAAATAAATTAGTGTAGGGAAACTTTTGGAAAATTTCGCCACTAGCATTATGTGTCCTTGGGACTGCTTTACTCTCTGTTCCCCGTCATCCCTTTGCAGTTCACCGGTACGTGGTACGTTGTTGTTGTTCCATAGTTGGACCCAAAAATTATCCGCAAGAGAATAGTTAGTTGCTCGTTTGCAAAGCCGAGAAGCGTCACTTCTTACAACAGACCTTGCTCGGGCATTAGATCGTTAGAAACTCTTTACAACCCGCTTACCATTTAGCTATCGGCACGGGTATGGCAACACCTTGACTTGGGTAGTATTGCTGTAGTAACCGTGGCATTGCCGCCTGCGCCAATACCAAAATTTTTGGGATTAGAACGTTTAGAAATATTGCAGCAAAATTCATATAATTCTAGACATTTAAGCCCCTCGCTACGACAAGACAAAGCATAAAATGATTTTAGCATCTTTATCTGTAAATGTAATTTAAAAATGCCAAATTTTACACCAAATAATACCTTTCATTCAAAAATTTTAATTAAAATGTTGAAATCAAACAAATTAATTTCTGGTTCAACAAAGAATGCTACATAGAAGCAACATATTTACTACAGAATTTCCACTCAAAACGGCGGCCAACACAAATATCTCTTCATTTTTATAGCCCACTTAGTAATGAATATGTTTTCAATAAAAGCCACTTGGTATTAAAATCCCGGCAAAGCATAAAATTTATGGCTACAAATTTCATGGCTGATTTACCTTAAAGTGCTGAGATATACGAGTATGCATGTATATGTAATATAAATGTAGGAATCCTTGTATGAATATATTTTTTTAGAGATGGCGCGCTAAATGATTGAAAAATACTAAAAATACATATCTACTTATAAAAAGTGCTTCTGGTATAAAAATTTCCTCAAAAACGCAATGCATTTAGAACTTTTGGCTGTCTAAAAGTGTCAGCAGCGTAATTATAAAATCTCAGCTAGTTTTCCATTTTTATATGTAGTTATTTATAGTGGCCTTTAAAGTGGCAATATCCGATTTTTTTTTTCACTGCTGCAATATTTTTTCTTTCTGCTTTATGCCGCTTTGGGAATTCAAACAGAATTCAACTGTAGATTTTAAGGGCACACACATTGCATATATCAATGCTTACTTTAGTGCTTAAGAACTTAGCGTTTAGTGTTAGTAATAATAATGTGAATAGCAGCAAGAACAACAATAATAACAATAAAAGTTTAATAGTTCGTTGTCTGTAAATAACCTTGACCGAAATTCCCAAAAGATTTTTAGTGGCAACAGCAGCCAGCAGCCAGCAGCAGTCAACGTGTTTATAATATCTAAAAGCATTGCCGGGCGTGTGTGTTTGTTTGGCTATCCCATCTCGTCGTCTATCGTCGCTGGCCTCTTGTCTTTCACTTCCATGCTGCTACATATACTAAAATACAATACTTTTCCGCCGAGTTTTTGGAAGCATAAAAATCAAGTTGTATATTTTGACTAGCGCGTGTTTTTTTTTTTTTTTGAGTGTGTATATTTTAGTTTCTGAATTGTTTGTCCGTCCCCAATTGAGTTGAAATGCGTGAGCGTGCAATAGTGGCAGTTCGAAAAAATTTTATTGATAATTTTTTTTCTTTAATTTCACTGGCATGCGCTCGCATGCTGGTTTTGAAATATTCGGCAGTTAGGCGCTTTAGTTTATTGCCAAAAATATGCGTATTGTATTTAGTACATATATGACGAAGCGCATACAATATACATACAGTAAGTTGTGGCATATCTATACAAATAAGTATGTAAGAGAGCATTCAAAAAAAAAAAAAAAACGTGCGACTTAATTGAAAATTTCCCGTCTTATTATACCTATGAAGGTATATTTCTGTATAATAAGGAACAATTATATTAATCTTAATCTTAATTGTAATCTCAAACTTAATGTTAATCTTCATCTCAATCTCAATCGTAAATTTAATCTCAAAATTAGTTTTGATCTTTATCTCAATCTTAATAATATTCTAAATTTTAATCTCAGCCTCAATCTCAATCTTAATCGTAACATCCAATCAAACCTAATTTTAATGTTAATCTTTATCTGAATCCTAATCATAATCTTAATCTCAATTTTAGTCTTGAAACTTAATTTTAGTCTTAATCTTAATATTAGTCTTAAAGTTAATCTTAGTCTCAATCTTTAGCCTTGAACCTTAATCATAACCTCATTGTTAATCTTAACTCTAATCGTAATCTAAATCTTAATCTCAACCTAATCTTAGTGTTAATTTTAATCTCAATCTTAATCTTAACCCTAGTCTTAGTCTTAGTTTTCATGTTAATCTCAATCTTAATATTAATCTTAATCATAATCTCAATCTTAAACTCAATCTTACTCTCAATCTTAAGGCTTGAATCTTAATCATAATCTTCGTCTTAATCTTAATTTTAATATTAAGTTTTACTTTAATCTAATCTTAATCTTAATCCTAATCTCATTGCTTTTTTAGCCTTAAAATTAATCTTAATCTTAATCTTTATCTTAATCATAATCCTAATCTGAACCGTAGTTTAGTCTTTTTAAGTTTAATTTTAATATCAATCTTAATCATAATATTAATCATAATCATAATCTTAATCTTAACTTCAGTCTTAGTCTTAGTCCTCATTTTAATCTCAATCCCAATTTCAATTTTAATCTAAATTTTAACCTTAATCTCATTCTTAATCTTCATTTTAATCGTTACCTTAATATTAATTTTGATATTATTCTTAATCTTAATTTCAATATCCATCTCAATCCCAATATTAGTGTTAATCTTAATCTTAGTGTTAATCCTAATCTTAATCTTAATCCTGATCTTGTTCTTTACCTCAATCGTGCTCTACTATACCCGCCATGCCCTCTGTTTTTATGTCGCTTTCATCGGCGTTTAGATTTGCAGCCGATCGAGCGCTATGAAAATTCACTTCAAAAATATTCAATTTAAATTATGCATACCATAAATTCCATACATTTTCCTTGCCTCAGCAGTTTTACGCTGCCTCATTATCATTTAGCCTTAGTATGTAGTATGTCACATCCCATCAAATTAAGTCCAATGTCATTTCCTTCACACCTACGCACCCTCTTTTTGTTGACCTTTGCTTTTATTTTTAATGATAGTGCGAAATCCTCAGCGTTTTGCTTTACTTATAGACAGAAAGCTGCAAATAATTGAAACCCCATTTAAGTACGCACGTAAATGTGTCCTTCAGCACAGCAATCCTTGGCGCTATGACTTTTTTGTATTCTGCTTCTTTTCCTTTTCCTCTTCCTCTTCCTCTTCTCTGCTTGTCATTTGAATGCAAACCAATTAGGTTTTGCTGTCTTTTTTTAATGCTCTCATTTAAAGGGTACCTTACCTGTTTTTTTTTTTTATACCAAATCAATAATTTGGGTGTGTTGCAGCCGTACGTATATCCTGTGACCTTTATCTCTTTTATTATTCGCCTATTTTACACGCTATTTTTGACAGCTTGTAAATTTGTGTGAGGCATGATGTCAGCTAACACTTTGATGTAATGAGCTTTTAAGTAGAGAAACAGCTTAGTTATAATATCTTTTCTCTTTTTTTTATTTTTAGAGCAAACCACATGTGGTGGAGCCTATCGACTTTGAGGGTTTTGTGGCCAAGAATAAAATGCTTATACAAAATGATCCACAAAGGGAACTACTCATCTATCCCAATGATGATGTCTCGGTAAGTAATGGAACTAATTTATATAAATGCAGTAGATTTTGTATGAAAATAGATGGCTTGAAAACTTTATATCGAAATCGTCGTCGATATACAGATCATTCGCTATGGCTACAAATCGGTTATGGTTCTATCGATAAATGTGTCATATAAATACATGTCGATATGTTTATTAATTCTATCGANCCCCCCCCCCCCCCCCCCCTTGAACAGCAGCGACTCGTCACTTTGCGTGAAAGAAAGTTTAAGGAATGTTGCTAAATTGACAGTCCTTTCGGTTACGTAGTTCTGACAGTCGTGTGAACGTAGTCAACCATCTCTTCACAGCGGTATGAAGAGTTTAGAAGAAGATATATCAACGTTTCTTGTTTAAGTTGGATTGAGAGCCGGTTGCAAAAGTTCTATGCTGTTCGTTGAGATTGCTACTTTTCGATTTCAAATGCATGCAAGACATTTTTCCAGCCGATCATATATACGATTTGTTCGGAGATGATTTGCATTGTTTCGAGCATACCTTGTTGCCAACAATCCGTATCTTTCGAGCATATCTTACTCTTGTTTGAAAAAAGCTCTTCTTAGCCGGAAAGAGAGTTGACACTACGCCGATCAATAATAGCGTCGACATGGGCTGCGAGGATATTCGTTCCCAGCTACATATGTAGATATTAGTCATCATACGCTATAATTACTCCTCCGTTTTGGAGATTATAATAGCATCCGAACTGTACAATAATGCGTTGGACGTTTGGCCTGCGCATTTCCTACAGTCTAACGAGAAAGCATATGGCCGTTCTATCGTCAACCGTCTACCCTAGCTAGAGGATTTTTCTTGCGTACTAATTGCGCTATCAGAAGCAGACTTAAATTTATGTACTTGGTCAAAAATTGTGTTAGTTACCGCTGTAGATGCCATTTGCTGTTGTTTATCAGGCGGCAGTCAGGGTTTTTCCATCCTATGAAGTCAAATCATCGTTAGTCCTGGAGTGCCTCGAGTACCCCGCTAGGGAGGAATAGAGGGTAATGAGGCGGTTGACTGTCTCGTTAGAGAGGCGGCAGCCATCACTCCAGTCGGCCCCGTTCCCTCCTTGCGAGTAAGTCCCAATACTATAAAGGAGGAGCTTCGGAGAAAAAGGAGCACACTAATGGATAGAAACTGGCGCAGTTCAGGGAGAATGTGCCAGGAAAAGAGTTTACTGGGAGGATTTAACAGGTAGAGATTCCAAAGCTTAATTAACCTCTCTAAAGAGATGCTTAGAATTCTAACAGGTATCCTTGCAGGACACTGCAGACTGAGCGGCCACCTACGTAAGCTAGGGATATGATCTAACGATATTTGCAGGTTCTGCGACTCGACCAGCGAGACACCGCTAAACATCCTCACCAAGTGTGAAACAGTCTGCAGAAGACGTCAGAGGCGTCTAGGCTCGATATGGCCACAGCTTAAGCACATTAACTCCCTACCCAGAAAGCACTATTGAACTTTCTGAAAGATCGAAATGTTGCGAAGAGAAGATAGCACAATAGATTGCCAGGTCTTTCTATATATCTACTGTTTATCGATTGAATGCCTTGAAAATTGGTTTATTCCTAAAACAGTGAGGACTTTCTTCCTCCCAGTTCTACAGTTATTTCAAAATGCATGGTAATCTCAAACCCCCTTAGCAGGTGAGAGATTAGGTGCTGTATCTGCCAAATCAAGTATAATCTAATTGTAATTAGGGTCAACGTTCCCAAACCGTCGTCTTCGTAGTATGGCAGTAGGCTCATTCAGTTCAAGTTTTAATCCGTCCTTTTACCACAGCTCTGTAGGGTACGTAGATTGAGTATTATCTCCCTTTTTTCTCTTTTGAATCTTTTCATCAGCAAATCCAACAGTGCTTCGACACGTTATGCTTAGACGTAAGTATGCTCCTCTACAGTCTGGCCATTCTTAGAGCCATACATGGTTTTGCAACTCCAGACAACAACTGTACTCAAGATTATCGGGCCGATCAGAGCCTAGTATACGCAGAGTACAAAAACATGTTTCAGAAGCCGGTTCATTTCAAATGTTCTCAGTTTACTCTCATCTCCACATAAGTTTTCGAGGACACTTTCGTATACAGAATTGCCTCTAGATAAGTTATTACTATAAAAATCACAGAATTTAGTTTAGAGTAACGTACGTTGAGATCTCTTTTCTCTTCCTTATAAACAAAAATACGAGTTTTCTAGCTCACAAATCTCCATTACTCTCCGAACCATGTTGTGTCTAAATTATGCCAACCAAACTTTTTCGTATTTCTCTCCTTTCAGGAAATCGTTATGCCTCGCAAACAGCGCACAAATACCAAATCAATCATTGATCGTTTCGAACCGCCCAACGAGGCTATCATCTGTCCGTTGCACGCTGGTACAAATGGCACCAGTAACGGCTCAAGTAGCACTTCAATTTCCCGCCAGAGCAGTCATACGAATAGTCCGAAATTTGCACAGCGCCAAATGAGCAGTCAATCGAATACAAGTCTACAAAATGGTAATGGTAATCTCTCGCGAAAAAGCTCACAAAGCTCGACTACTAAAATACAGCTGTCTATTAAGTCACCAACTTCCTCGCATGACTCATACGAATCGGCGATTTCCACAATGGGTTCAATGGCTGGCGGTCATATAACTTCCACATCGCATTCGTCTTCATCGTCGACCCTAAAGTCCAGTATACTCGCACAACCAGAAGAGGATGAGGATTTGGATGGCTCAGATGGTGGCACGAGTAGTATTGGAAGCGGTGGTGGTGCTGGTGGCACACGCGCCGAATGTACACGCTTTACACGTCAAGCGTTGTATACATATCGCGCCAAGAATCATCTTATACATTACAAATATAGCGCCTATGGTGGGACATGCCATGATTTGCCCAGGTATATACTTGATAAAAATTTGGTTTCGTCCGACAAATGAGACTAGTCATTTGCTTGCAAGTAGGAACATTTTTTCTTTCTAACCTCAAAAAAAACCGACTATTATAAAACCTAAAATGCAATTTTTTGAGGTTAGGAAGTAAAAACGAGGAAACTTTTGAATAACTGCAGATACATAGGTTTTTGGAGGTTAAAAAAAAAGATCCAACTACTGAACTCTTGACTTCGTATTAGATTTAAGCGACCCCAGATCTGTGCGGATGTACGCGCTGTGCAATGGTTTTAGATTTTATAGTATTTTTCCTTTGCAGAATAAATCCACCCGAAGCGCTGATCGAGGAGGTGTACGAAATTGATGCCGATCAGGATCGCATTGACGAACAAATGACACGATCTCAAGCCGATACGATAACGAAACAGGGCTACTTACTAAAGGGTCCCGACTCAGGTTCGGATCGTATGTTTGTGAATATAGGGAACAAGTCATTCAAGAGGAGGTGGGTTTCCATTTTACAAACTTTGCAATATGCAATAAATAAATACTCCTACAGGTACTGCTATCTGCGTCAAGAGGTCGATGGCACCTACATTCTCGAATTGCACAAAGATGAGAAACAAGGCGAGGCTAAAGCCACTATAGTCATGGATTTCTGCACCGAAGTTGTGCAGGTAAATGTGTTGTGTGTGTGTGTTTTTTTCCATCCATATAATCTCTTCACCATAAACTTTTTCTCCACCACAGAACCCCAAACGCGGCCGCTTTTGCTTTGAACTCCGCATGACTGCCGGCCATAAGTCCTTCACGCTCGCCGCCGAAAATGAGGAGGAGTTCAAAGACTGGCTGAGCAAATTATCGCTCGTGCTGCAACAGAACAAGATCCAGGAGGACAAACGCGTCGCCTCGCTTGAACGCGCGCCACCACCTACCACCAGCACTGTTATCTTCGGCACGCTGAAGGGACTCGATCAATCCATGAATCCTCAATTGATTAAGTATGGACGAGAAACGGACATTTCCATTGCACAGGCGCGTCGCGAGCATCGGCGGCGACTCTTCGCTTGCTATCAATCAAATGGCAAGGCAACCGCCACCGACACTGTCGACCAATTTCGCGAGCAATTCGGCAAGCGCATTTTTATAGCCTGCAAGGGCTTGCGTTTTCGTCTACAATGCGCTGGTGTCGACGGCTTCGATGGCGAGAATTTGTGTCAAGTAGAGCCATACATCACCAGCTTAGCGTTGTATGATGCGCGCGCCGGCCGCAAGCTAACCGAGTCCTTCTATTTCAATGTCAACGATGATAATGTAAGCGATATGTTGCCAACAACGCCGGTGCCCAACTCTGTTGCCGCTTGTTGTGTGCCATTGCGTCGCGCCGATGAGAAGGAGGATCGAACGCGCGCCCACGCTGGTGGTGGTGCTGCTGCCGCTGCTGGTGGTGGTAGCGTGCGCGTACAAAATTCGCTGTTGGAGAATCTATCGGGAGATTTGTTGCGCTGCACCAAGGAACATTTTGCGCACTTGCGCCAAGCTATATTCTCAGTGACAGCGCCACATCCGGACATTTACTTAGTGTTGAAGGTGGAGAAGATTTTGCAAGGTAGCATAGTGCAGGCGGCTGAGCCGTATTTGAAGACTGGACGCGATCCAAAGATCGCTTTAAAATTGCACAAAACAGCGCGCAACTATGCGCAAAATATTGGACACTATCGTCAGCCGTTCGCTTGGGCGGCTAAGCCACTCTTTCGGCTGTACAGAAATGAATTGGATACGGAGAACGATACGTTCGAACTGACGACCATCTATAGGCAGGAAGCGAATAAGCTGAAGGATGAAGAGCTGCTGAAACTATTGGCGGAATATCGAAAGCCAGATAAGCTGAGCAAACTAACGATTATACCGGGTTATATGAGGCTAACTGTCGAGGAAGTGGAGAAGGTGCCAGGTATGTAGGCGTACATACATAGAAGGTGTATGCAATTCATAAAAATTTGTTTGAAAAAAAAACATTTGCTGAGCTCTCATTTCCATTCCTTCCATGCATACAGGTTCCTTTACTAAGTCTTTAGTGCCGCTAGCTAACTTCACATTTCCACCCAAACCGCCCACGCTCGAATTGACCGAATTCCAAAGCAATAGCACGCGCGACACATACCCATACATAACATTCTGCAATCATTTATTTGTCTATCCGCAGTATTTGCAATTCGATAGTCAGAAATTATTTTCGCGCGCACGCAACATAACCGCTGTCGTGGAGTTGCGCGACTCAGATGAAGAGGGTAGCAAACCGTTGAAGGTGAGTGCAACAATCATACATACAATTTCAAGTGTTTTATACTGTATTTGTATGTATGTATATGTATTTGTTTCAATTTTCCTTGCAGTGCATTTACGGTCGACCTGGTCATGATTTCCTAGTCTCGCAAATCGCTTGCCCTGTGCTGCATCACAACACCACACCTGCATGGTATGAGGAAGTGAAAATGCGTTTGCCATTGGGTCTCTTCTCCGAGCACCATTTGCTCTTCTCCTTCTATCATGTATCGTGTAATTTGGGCAAAAAACGTGATGCCAATGCCGCCTTCGAAACGCCCATAGGATATGCTTGGCTGCCGTTGTTGCAGAAGGGTCGCATCAATTTGGAGGAGCAGGTCATTGCGGTAGCGGCTACGCTGCCGGCGGGCTATTTGTCGATACAGCCTTTGGGGCTGGGCAAAGGGGTAAGTGTGCATGTGTGTGGCAAATGCCTAAAGTGCATATGTATGTATGTATACTTAGTGCGAATTCGCTATGTGACTAACGGCAAATTATTATTGAGATATTTTTGGACTTTTGCCCGTTAAAAGCTGTATTTTCTTTTTAATTGAATTTATGCTTTTGTTTGCCTTATACATAGTTTGAATGAAGATTAAGCTTAATTGCAAGCTCCGATCTAAAGTTTCTCTAAGCTTGTTTAAAAGCTTTTTCCATGTTTAGAAGCTTGGAAGCTCTGCATTAAATTTTGTGATCACTGTTGATCAAATATTTAAACAGCGTCATGGCTGTAAAGTTAACAGTTTTGAACTTAGTAGTTTTAATGAGTTAAATACGAAGACCACAAAGATAAATACGTGAAGAACACGTCAACGAATACGAATACTAATACGAAGGCGAATGCGAAGACAGTGACTTAAATGAATACGAATGTCAATGCGAATACTAACAACGAAAACGAATGCGGAGACGAATACGAATACTAAGACGAAGACAAATACAGGTAAATTTAGAAGACTAATACGAAGATAGCGACTAAAACGAACAAGAGGGTAGATGCAAAGACTACTATAAAGACGAATACTTACATATGCATAGGAAAACAGCGAAAACGAAAAAATCTTCAGGACCCTTAAAAAAACTCGAACATTTTCTGTAGTAAATGGCACTCGTTGTGTGCATATATCATCACTTAAAGTACAAAACCGCGTATCAAGAAAATGCGAAACCTCGTGTGTGAGGTGGCCAAGATTTTTTTTAGGTGACTGTAAAGCTACTCCTATTTCAAAACGGTTCTCTCTTTTATCCCTAATTATCTCTTCTTCTTATATCTAAGAATCGATATTTTAGTATAAATGGGTAAGGGCTTGATGCCAGGAGCTTCCGCTGTGCAAATATCCTTTTTTGGCACAAATGTCAGTTACGAGGTTTTGCAGAACGACGATACGCGGTTTTGTACTTTAAACGACGATATGTATATCCATATGTTTTTGCACGCACCGGGTCCGCTTCTTGCTTTAGCGTGGATACCTTTGCTTGGAAAACACTAAAGTGATCCGGTAGCCTAAAATTAATGCAGATTTATTCGCAGAAAGCACATACACTTACTATTCTACAGAGGCCGTTAGCGGAAAGTCGGCCATTTAGGGAGTTTAAAAAATTGGGATTGGGAGCGAACTCCGACTTCTTGCATAGCTCTTTACATACTTTTCTCTGAACGGAAGCTTTGCTCCACTTTGCCGCAACAGTTCAGTTCAGGAAAGCCACCAACAGCGTAGTTATGTGCGAGAAGGACTGCTCAATGCTATCCTACGACTTTGTGTAAATCTGAGTCTATACATCTGCTCTTGAAGAAGGCATGTCCTTCGGGAATCCTGCTTCTTATGTACATAGCAAAGAGTAGCTCAAGCGTCTTTCAGAGAGACCAAGAACGATTGATTGATCTGAAATCCCTAGGCGACACATGTGCCGTGATCTAAAATGCCTATAGGACACAGGTGCGTTGGTGGTGCGAAGGTAATTTTTTTGGCCAACCCACTTTCACAAGTTTAGAGCAAGGCCCCTTCCTAAGCAGGTAAGGGCAACCAGCAGCTCGACAGGCCCGCAGACTTCGGTATTTGCATTGGGTATGATACCGTTTGGGACTTGATTCATGGAGAGAGAGTTTATAGTCCTAAGTAGGCGGTGCTTCCCCGAAAATTTCAAGTTTCTGACTGAGTAGCCGGCTTCGGATCACATACTCGGAAAATGAACATCAATAAAGAATGTTTTCGCAGAAAATTTTCCAAGATCGAATTTCTCAGAGTCCTGCAGTATAGGTCCTAGTTTGTTCATCTCAGACTCCAGTAAGGATCGATTGTGAGATGCGCTGCATTAATGAAAAACTGTATGTCCCGGCAACGTGAGAAAGGTTGATTACCTAACCTCAAAGAAATTTTTTTCTTTTTTTTTTGTTTTACTTTTTTTAAAATAATAATTTTATTTTGATTAAACAATTTTTTAACTATGTATTTTATTTTGTGTTTCCTGATGAAGTCACGAAATTATATGTTTATTTTTTAAACTTTAAGTTTAATTTTTCAAATAATTGTTTTTATTTTATGATTAAGTGTTTTAATTTTTCTTTGCATTTTGATCTAACCTCAATTTTTATTTTTGTTCATCACACACAAACTCACACGATTCCTTTATTTTTGTGTCACTATGCATTTGGTTGCTACTGTTTTCATATTTTCAACAATTTCATTGCATCTTTACTCACTGCGTTTTCTTTTTCTGGCTTCTTTCAAAATTTTCATGCTTCGATTACTGGTTTCGCGCATATTTGGACTAATGGTTTAAATTACAAACATAAAAATAAAATAAAAATAAAATGAAAACGAAAAAAATGACGAAATTCGAAAAAAAAAATTAATTAATTAAAAAAAAATCAAATGAAAATGTAATTAAAATATGAAAAAATAACGAAATTCAAAAAAAATACAAAAAAAAATATAAAAAAATGTTTAACTAAATACACAATTTATTAATTATTCTATTCACAAAAATATTTAAATAACTATAAATAAATTAAATCTAAAAAAATTCAAAATTGAAATTGATTTACTAATTAATCTTTTCCTAAAAACTTGAATTTAAAAATTAAAAAAAATTTTAATTTTACCCTCAATAAAATAAAAAAAATAAATCAAATAAATCACTAATTTTCAAATATTATTTACTCAATTGAAATAAACAAACAAAATGCTCAATTGGTTGGAATAATTTTAATACAAAACCTATTCAAATCAAACTATTTTTTTATAATTTTTTAAATAATTCATATATTTTTCGCGCATTAAAATACATGAATATAAATCGACCATCCACCACTTTGTGGCATATCAATTTCAACTGCACCACGCCTTCATACTATCACTTGTGGTCGTAAAACAACAACAAAATTCATACAAAAACGTCATTGCTCGCTCTTCAACCAAATTTTCGTTCTCATCATATTCGCTCGCTCGCTTGCTCGCACTCACTCTCTTTCTTCCGCGCTCATTATTCCTCTCGCTGTCACTGTCGCGCTCCTCCATCCTCTCTTTTGGCTACAAAACATTACCATATTTCCAGCAGAATTGCGGTCCTGACATACAATGGATCGACAATCAGCGCCCACTTTTCAGCGTTGCCTTCCGCATGGACTCTACTGTGCTGACAGCCGATCAGCATTTGCATAATTTTTTCGCACATTGTGAGCGCCTGCTAGAGGGTGGAAAGACTACTGCGCTACCCGCTGAATCGGAGACTTGCAAAATACTTAAGGCAGCGCATGCGATCGACATCAGCACGCTGATAAATTTTCTACCGACCGTGTTGAATGAACTCTTCACGCTACTCGTACACACACAATCCGAGGAGATCGGCTTGAATATCATACGTCTACTCATCAATATGATACACATGCTGATCGAGGAGGCCGGACGCAAGGAGCTACTCAGCGCCTATGTTAAGTATGTCTTTCATGCGCCCTACTACAGCCAGAAGACGCCGCGCACGGTACACGGCGAATTGTGCAAGCATTTGCCGACAATTTTGCATCCGAACAACACCGATTTTCTGATCGTCAACAAATTCATGCATTACTCTGGTATTTTCTTCGATTTGATCATCAAGAGCATGGCGCAACACCTGTTAGATACCGGCCGCATACGTATGCTGCGCAATGAGCGCTTTCCTAAGGAGTACCCCGCGCGCGTGGAGAGTTTGATCAAAGTGCTGACGCCCTATCTGATTTCGCGCTACAAGGATCTGCCCGTCGAGACGCAGCAATTGAATAGATCGTTATCGCAATTTGTGCGACGCTGCCTCAGTTACATGGACCGCGGTTTCGTCTTCAAGCTAATCAAGAATTACATGGAGCAATTTGAGCTGGGCGATCAGCGTACGCTGCAAGAGTTTAAATTCGACTTTCTAGCCGAGATTTGTCAGCACGAACATTATGTGCCACTAAATTTGCCATTCGTACTGAATCCGAAGAATCGTCCACCAGAAATGATGCTCCATTTTACGCTCTCTCAGGAATTCTGTAGGCAACACTTTCTTGCCGGTCTGCTGTTGCAGCAGCTGAAGCACAGCCTGAACGAGCCGACCTCTGTGCGACGTCACTCACTGCGTATATTTAAGAATTTGCTTGCCAAGCATGAACTCGACGACCGTTACCAGAATCGTGGACAACTGTCGCGCATCGCGCTGCTCTATGTGCCCTGGCTGGGCATTGTTATGGATAACGCGCATCGCATCGATGATCTCACGGGTGTGGCGACGCCCAATGGGCACGTATACGCCGACTCAGCCTCGTACACCCAGCGGTTATCGTGCTCCAGCAGTTATGTGTTTGGCAAGGACACCGTTTTGGCTTCGTCAACGTCGACGCCGCGCTCGAAAAACCGCATGACTCTCCACATCGAACATCCCAGTCCGCTGCGCGCCTCCGTGTACGTCAGGGATGCGCCACACGCTGCCGGCACTGCGCCACTGGCCAATGGCAATTCGGAGAGCTCACTGAACACGCTCAATTCAGATTCGCAAAACTCGCAAGACACGCCCACTTTGGGCGCTGTCACTAATGGTCATCACGTCACGGACCTCTCCGAGGTTGCCATGCGTAACGGCCACAATCGCTCCATTAATGTTATGCACGGTTTGAATAGCCTGCCGCGCTGTGACAAATTCAACATGGCGGAGAGTAAGGATCTACTGCTCGGTTTCCTATTTGTTGTCAAGCATTTGGCGCAAGATCAGATGATAGGCTGGTGGCAGAACTGCACCGAAACGGAGACACTCGCCTATCTTAGCGTGCTCGACCTCTGCTTGGTGCAATTTCGCTACGTTGGCAAGAAGCATATCAGCTTGGCTGATGATGGCAAGGAAGCGCGTTCGGCGCGCACGGCCAAGGCTAGTACATTACCCGCGCGCATGCAGCCACCGAGTGTGGAGCAAGCGTCTAACGGCAATGGTACCACACATGAGTCTGGCACGCTGACGCTTACGCAAAATCGCGAAAGCCTCGTTGAGGAAACGGCGCGCAGTCAGCAGGCGCTATATGAGTCCAATCTGGCAACGGAAATCGGCATGATCATATTGGATAGCCTCGGCTTGTATGCGGTACACTTTCGCGATAAGCTGTGCGATAGCCTCGTACTGCCACAACTGGCGCGTGTCTATCTGCGCTTCCTGCAGCTCGGCCAGTCGGAAAGGCTCTCAAAGCATGTATTTGCCGCCTTGCGCGCCTTCATTAACAATTTCTCACCCGCACTCTTCAAAGGCAATGCCACGCTGTGCGGTCAAATGGTTTACGAACTGTTGAAGGGTTGCGACAGTCGCCTCGTCGCCATACGGCACGAGTCCTGCGCCGTGCTCTATCTGCTGATGCGCAGCAACTTTGAATACACTGGCCGCAAGGGTTTGACACGTGTTCACCTACAAGTAATCATATCCGTCTCGCAAATGATAGGCAATGTGATTGGGTTGAATAATGCCCGCTTTCAGGAGAGTCTATCGATGATCAACAGCTATGCCAATAGCGACAAAGCAATGAAAGGCACTGGCTTTCCGGTGGAGGTGAAAGATCTGACGCGTCGCGTGCGCACCGTGCTCATGGCTACCGCTCAAATGCAGGCACATCACATGGATCCCGAACGCCTACTCGAGCTGCAGTATTCGCTGGCGAACTCGTATGCTTCGACGCCAGAACTGCGCCACACCTGGCTCATTACAATGGCGCGTAATCACGAGCAGAATGGCAACATATCGGAGGCGGCGTGCTGCCATATGCACATAGCGGCGCTAATGTCGGAGTATTTGCGCCTACGCGGCGGCTGCAACATCAACTGGGGCGCTTCGGCATTCACTAAAATATCACGTAATATACCACGCGATGAGCAGGGCTTGAAGTTGGATGCTGGCGCACAAGATTCACAGTACACCGAGCAGATGCTGTTGGATCAGCTAAAGCAATGCGCTGATTTTCTCGATCGCGGCGAACGTTTCGAGTGCTTGGGTGATCTTTATAAACTCATATTGCCGATGTATGAGCGCAATCGGTCGTACATTGAGCTGGCACAGTCGTATGAGCATCTAATGCAGGCTTACAATAAAATCGTTGAGGTGAATCGTTCGGGCAAACGCATGCTGGGACGCTTCTATCGCGTCGTGTTCTTCGGCATGGTGAGTGTGGTGGATATTTTGCTGAATTTTTTTTTATTTATGCTTTTTTTCTGTTCTAGGTATACTATGAAGATGATCATGCGGTTGAATTTGTTTACAAGGAGCCAAAACTAACCTCACTCAGCGAGATATCCGAGCGTCTATCAAAACAATATAAAGAAAAGTTCGGCGCCGATGTGGTCAAGATGATAATGGACTCATCACCGGTGAGTTTAACTATGAACATAATGAAATTATCTTCAATACTACTTAATTATAGATTTGATATTTCTAATCATAAGAGGACAAAACCGAACTTGTGTAGAAAATAGAAATTCAAATATATTTTTCATAAGAGATATCAAAATTTCCGATATTTTCGCACAACTTTAGATATTCCAATTTTCAAGACTCTGTGGTTTCACGCTTTAACTACTCAACCGATCATCATGAAATTTTGTGCACTGCTGTCATTTAGCCCAACTTAAAATATAGGATAAATTTAATCTCGATTAGACAAGGGGGCGTGACACCTCCCATACAAACGGAATATTTTATACTGCATTTCTCAGGAAATATTTTTGATAGATTACTATATCCAATATATTTTGAAACGGGTTGCCACCTGTTTGAAAAGTCAAATTTAAATTAATTATACGCAAGCTATCTGAAGAATTAAAATATGGTTGTCTAACGGAATATTGTTAATAAACATTTAGTTTGAATAACATTTAAGTCTTTCACAGGGGTTGCCACCTTTCTAAAAATTAAATTCAATTATTTAAAATTAAATATTGTGGTAAAATGGGCGCAATGGTTCTTGCGTTTGATTTATCGGTGGTGATGTGAGATTTACCGCTGCACAACTCAATCCTGGTGTCTCCGAATGAAGCTTTAACGCTTAATAAGTAGTAATACTGGAAAATCACATACATTGAGCCAATCGTAACGCACAAGAGTTCGATATATATACTCAATGGTGCAATAGGTCGATTTAATTTGACATTCACGGCACCTGTTCTAACTTGGCGATTATTCGTAATGACTCCAGCGCCCCCTGGCAGTCCGTTTTTAAAAAAGGTATTGCCTTTACCGTTACCAATACATATTTTAAATAGTCAAATTTATGAATAAGATTTTTAGTAATAACTTAACTCCAGCGCCAACTGGCGGGTGAAATTGTGAAACCCAATTACCCAGAGAGCCATTCAAAAGCACACAAAAAACTTCGTTAAAATCGGTCCGGGCATTTAGGAGTATTTCACTCACAAACACACACATACAGAAGAATTATATATATATACGTTTTTACGGCGCTACGCCCTCTTTTCAAATAGCCTATTTTTCTTCATGAGTATAAGATTGATTTCATATATCGCCGTACCAAGTACCGGTATTCTACTATGAACACTTCCAGAGATATGCAGTATGAACAAATCGGTTTGTGTGGGAGGTGCCACGCCCTCTTAATATATCGAATTTTTTTTTTAGCCTATAACTATCCTTGGGATGTCTGAAGCAGATGTCCTAAATTTCAAAAAAAATCAGTTCGGCCGTTCTCGAGCTTTGCGAACACATAAAAAACGGCTTTCAAAATATGTAGTGTTATAGAAGATTGGTATGGATCGAAATGGTTTTGAATATGTATCACAATATGAGTGTTAGACGAAAGAGGTTTTAAAAGGTTGCCAACTGTTTAAAAGGTTAAATTCAAACGATTCAATAATTTAAATGAATTATTAAAATTCGGTTATCAATCAAAATGATTTCCAAAGGGTTTCATTTCGAAACTACATGGAAGAGGTTTCCATCTGTTTAAAATCTTGAATTGAGTTCAGGGGATAAGTTAGTTGAAAAGGTGTGACAAGTGAGAAGTTTCAGAAAGTTTTAGTTGGAAAATATTTTGAAGATGGTTAAACAAATTTTAAACCTCCTATTTTTTTAATTGAATTTTCTTGAAATATATTTTACTCAATGTAGCACATATAATTTCATACACTCAGCGAAGCGGGTGAGGACGATCTAGTACATAATATATATGTAATTGAATTAATTTGAAAACTATTTAAAGACAATTAAATTTTCTTGGAATTCACAAAATTTTGTTTTTAATAATTATTTGAGGCGTGCAATTAAAAAAAAAAGAGAAATATATAAAAAAAATACAAGTTTTACGAGACGTTACTTAAACAGAAATTGCGACAGTTCAATATTCGATTCGGCGTCATCGTTTGGAAAGAGACTGCGACGCTACACGCAGGTACAGCGGTCAGGGAGCGATTTACGCAATATGCGGCGGATTTTGGATTTGCGGCGGCGCATGGACATATAAAATGAAAAGAAAGAAAAGAGCATATTGAAGCACAGCATTCGCATGCAAATATAGCTAAAAATATGTAGAGAAGCAAAGTATTGAGGACAGAAATTGTTTTGCTTACCTTTTGCGCTTCGCTTTGCCGCAGCGTTGAAGCGTGAGTGCCACGTGGGCGCGCTGTGCCCACCGAATCCTTGGACTTCGTTGCCGTTAGCTTGGGTATGTTCAACTTTTCAGCTGCGGCGTTTTTGAACTTGCTGCTAAGCGGTTTCTTGGCCACAGTGGGCCTGAAAGAGAAGAACGAAGAGGTAATTGTAGTTTTTTTTTTTAATGAATTCTTTCATACTCACTTTGTTGTCAAATTTTGCTCGCTTGAGCTCGCCGACTGCAAAGAAATGGCATTCCTCAAGGTGGTGGTGGTGGTGGTGGTTGTGGTGGTGCTGCTATTGGCTTTTGACGCGCGCGCTACCCCCGTTGTTTTATAATTCATGCCATTGGTTTCTGTTGTTACGCGTGTGAGCGCATTAACGCGCGCGCGCGGTGCTGTCAGACGTGGTATGTTGGTGGCAGACCGCGGTAGTAAGCGGCAGCTTGCCTCTGTCTTCTTACCATCTGACTTTATCGACTTCAGTCCCGAAGTGAGATTGTGTAAACTCTCCGTTAGCCGCTTTGTGCGTGTCATAGCTGCCGAACTAGAGCGCGGCGTTGACTTCTCAGCGTGGTGTGCGCTATTCTTGCCACGTAAACTCAAACTGATGTTGGCCAATTTGCGTAGCGTGGTACGCTTCTCCGACTTCTTCTTGTCGCTTTTCTCCTTCATTGTCTTACCTTTGCTAAGGCGCGCTTTGCCCATGGTGCTCTTGGCATTGACTTCAATTGATGTGTTGGGTGGCGCGTGTGATACACCAACCGCTAGTTCGGTGTCGGCCTCGCAGCATAACTTGCTTGATTCTACACTCATGATCTGATTGGGCATATAGCCATCGCCAACACCGGCACATTCACAAACCGTTTCGGCGCCCACTTCTGCGTCGACATCACCATCGCCACCCAAGCGGTTCGTCGACTCCTTTATTTCCTCTAGTATTTGTGGCAACTCATGCGAAGCAGCTTCTTCCTCGGCCAGCTCATTTTCCTCGCTCAACTCACTCACCTCCACCGATTCGGTGTCTTCTTTGTACTTGTATTCGTTGAGCGTTTCATTTGATCCCTGTTCGGAATATTGCTCGTGGTTCTCTTCATCGCTGATGTATTCGGTCGGGTGGCGGTTGTTCAAGGCGCTTTCGCTGAATGCGTTCTCGCGACGGGAGTTAAGCTCTTCTTTTCCTTTGACCTCCGCTATATATGCCTTATTTGCCGCCTTAATGACGGCAAGCTGTAACATTGGTTCACCCTCAGCATCTTCAAAGTTTTCCAAGTCAGTGCTATCTTCTTCCGAAGCTCTCACGTCCTCGTCTTTATGCTTCTTCTTTTCATCGGTTTCTACGCTCAACTCTTCGTCAACAATTTCGCATTCGTTCTCCTTTTCTCGTTCATCCCCTTTGTTGGCTTTGATTGCCTTGTTGACAATTTTCATTTCATCCACAGCCTCACTTCGTCCCACATCCTGTGACTTGTTCAACTCCAACTCCTCCTTTAACGCGTCCATTTGTTTAGCTGTCACGCCTTCTAGCTTGATTATCTTCAGCGCATTTGAATTGTGTTCGAAGTGTAGCGGCTGAGCCAGCGTCGCATCACCAATCTCGCGCATGATTTTCTGTCGTAGCAGATAAGCCGGATAAAATTCCTTTGCATCTGGGTTTAATTTGGATGTAATTTTGAGTCCATTGGTTGAGATAATTGTGCTATTATTTGGTAACTTAACTGGTTCCTCATTTTCCTTCTTTGTCATTTCAATTTGCATATCCGTAGCCGCTTGCATCTTCACTATGCACTTCGTCGCGGAAAAAATACGGTCAGCGTTCTGACTTAAAACTCACCGTTACTTTGGCTGTGTTGTTATTGTAGTCGCTTTCCCAAAACTTCCCGCTTGTCTAATAACTTTTTAGAAAATTTTCGCTTGTTTGTCGTTGTTGCTTCAAAAGCAGTGCGGATCGATTAGCAGCAGCGGTGTTAACGTTTCGGAGAAAGACAGAAAATATACGTGATCTGTGGTTTTATTGTTTTTAAAACGAATTTTATGGGATTTGAAACTGAAATAATAAACGTAGAAATTTAAAAATATATGTTGTCAAATTTCGAAACAAAAATTAATTATTTTCAGAAAAATATTTACCAGATTTGGGAAATTGAAGCTTGTGGCAAAGACAAATGTCACAGCAATCGAAATAAATTTTCATTTTTTTGCTGGCTCCAAAGTATTTTATTTACATCGACAAGTTGGCATATTTTTTAACAAAACTTCAAAGGAGTATTTCTTTCGGTACAAAAATCAATATGAAAAAATTTGTTTTCCTCAATTGTTTTCTTGGACGTCGAAGTATGATCTTCTATAAATAATTTAAGACCAACTAGTGCATAATTTGAATAATAAATGTAGAAGTTATGAGCACTTAAGTATAAATACATAAAAAAGTTCCCATACAAGTTTATGATATCATTAATAAATAGTTCACACTTTTACAAATATTACATTTGTGAGTGCGAAAAAAACTTCGATGTTAGCCAACTGTATCAAAAAAAATAAAATAAAATAAAATAAAATAAAATAAAATAAAATAAAATAAAATAAAATAAAATAAAATAAGATAAAATAAAATAAAATAATATAAAATAAAATAAAATAAAATTAAATTAAATTAAATTAAATTAAATTAAATTAAATAATTAAAATAAAATAAAATAAAAAAAAAATAAAATAAAATATTATAAAACAAATAAAATAAAATAAAGTAAAATAAAATAAAATAAAATATAATATAATATAATATAATATAATATAATATAATATAATATAATATAATAAATATAAAATTGTAATTAAGTGACGCCTTTTTTAGTTCGCAAAAGAGAAAATCTGACCATATCTCAAAAACTGTTCCACTGATTTTTTTAACAATTTGGACACATATTCGTATTCAGCAAAGAACTTTACGTAAGAAATGATGGTCAAATTCCACAGATTGGTTTTTTTGTTGACTAGACTTGACAGGTAATAGGAGAATATCTTCTTGGTTTTTTGTTTCAAAAATATTCAACAATTTTATTGAGTTTGAGGCCGTCTTCTACAAAAAATGTTGCGAAAAACAAAAATAATTTACAAAATAACAGTTTGTTACAAAATGTTGAAATTCTCCGATATTCTTAAGTTGTGGTTGCTTTTTCATTTTCGCATCCTTTTCATTATTTTCTCTCCTCTCCTCTCCTCTCCTCTCCTCTCCTCTCTATCCTTTTACTTATTCTAATACTTTTTTTTGTTTTTCATTTTCCTTATCATAGCGATATCCTATCCTATCCCTATCCTTCCCCATCCTCATCTTTATGGGTATGCTTATTCTTAGCCTTATTCATATCCTCATCCGATACGATATTCTTATTATAATACTTGTCTTTTTTCTCATCCTTTTCCTTGTACGTTTGGCTCTTTTGTTATCCTTCTCCATACATGTAGCTTTTTTGATACATTTAATTTTAATTTTAATTTCCTTGGTACAATCTTCTTTTTAGCCTTTTAACTTCCTTTGACACATTATTTAATAGTTATTTTGTCGTATTCCCTTTTACAGGTGGATCCCAACTCACTTGATCCCAAATTGGCCTACATTCAAGTGACACATGTCATACCATTTTTCAGCAAAGAGGAGCTAGATCAGCGCCTAAATGAATTCGAACAAAATCATGATGTTGACACATTTATGTACGAAACACCCTTTACAAAATCTGGTACAGCGCGTGGCAGCGTGGAGGAGCAATGGAAACGCAAAACGGTCATTAAAAGTGAGTACTCCACTACCTTTTGGTTCCCCAAAACACTTAGATGGATCTGACTTCCTCCACAGCCGCCTACTCATTCCCGTACGTACTCAAACGTATACCAGTGAAATCACGCGAAATCATCGAACTCAGTCCAATTGAAGTGGCAATCGATGAAATGCAAACCAAGGTTTCTGAGCTGGAAGAGGTTATACTACCGCCAGCTGATGTGAAGAAACTACAACTGCGACTGCAAGGCAGCGTAGCAGTTACCGTAAATGCCGGACCACTTGCCTATGCGCAAGCGTTTTTGGATCCCAAAATAGTGTGTAATTTCTCAATTGATCGTGTTGAGGATTTGAAGGATATTTTCAGGTATAATTTGATGCTTACTCCTATCAAAAGGATGCTAACAATTTAAAAAAATTCCTCAAATTTTCAGAGACTTCGTTAAAGTTTGCAATACGGCACTCCAGTTAAATGCGCGCATGATTAGCAGCGATCAGGCGGAATATCACACGGCACTCACCGAAAACTATCGCAAACTTTGTCAGGCGCTCAGCGAGCTACTTGGTGAGCCGTTTCAGCCTTTGGATGACAGTGTCACAAGCGGACAACGCAATAGCATGGCTTTGTTTAATGCAATCAGTGGCGCTTCGCAAAATTCAAGTACTGCCTAAAAACGAAAAAACTAATTACAAAGCAAGCAAAGAATAAACTAAACAACGCACTCATCCTAACACGCACATACACACACACACACACGCACACACACACACACGCTCTGACAAAAAACACACTCAATTTAAATGATGCGAATTAGTAAACTATAGAACAAAAAAGCATAGCTACTTGACTAGATTTTCGATTTGATTTTAAATGACTAACTATTAACCAAAGAAACGAAAGAAAAAAAAAAAAAACTAAAAAAAAATTAAAATTATGTGGGTTGTATATGCGGCGAAATGCTTATGCGTGGTTTATAAAAAAAAAACACACATTTGTTTAAGTGGTGGGTGACTCTGGCTGGCTGGCATTTTTCAGACTTTACCCTCTTACCACTGGTGATTGATTGATTGATTGGATTTATGAGGCGTTTAACAGAATACTTTGATGCGCTAGTACTTACACTGTGGGTTTCGGGAACCGCTTTTAATGGTGATTAACTCATTCAAATTATTAATGTATTTGTATTTATGTATTGATATGTGTATACTCAACTAACTATACATACTCTGTAAGCCATTAATAAAAGCCTTTACGAAAATGTCTAACAGATTACATCTAAGTGGTCACAATAAATTTTAAAATGTATTTATTGTTTATTAACGTAAGACAGTAATTCTGTGTGAGATAGCTGAACTAAAAAAAAAAAAAAAACATTTTAAAGCGTAGATGGCAAACAATGTATTTATTTCAATTGCATTTTTATCTCTACGGTGATGGCCAAAACACAATTCTTAAGAATCATGCATTTTGAGTCCCTTTCTATTTGTACTAAATTCTCTCATTTTTTTTTAATCATAAGTAGCAACTTACATATGAGTCGTCCGCTCGGATAGCATTAACATTAAAATATATTCAGGTATTATCTGGTTTAAAATATTCTACAGGAGTTCGCTGGAGACGAAATAACATTCTAACGGATACGGAATGTTGCTGGAATGACAATCCTTGACTCGATATACAAATGTACATATTTAAATCCGGGTAATTTCAATAACTCGTTCACGACTGTTTTGAATTACATATACATATGTTTTTGAATATAGACACTTCAAGATTATCTCATGATTAAATTGTGTATTTGACAAATTCAAGTTCATCAAATGCTTCATACGAATTCATACTTCAATCAAAAGTTTAAAGACATTCGAAGATTTCAAGACGTTGCCTGTTTCAGCGAACACCTCTGTTGTTTTTCCTATTATTATTGAAAAGGTTTATTGGAATAACGTTTGTCCAGCCCCCTTGTCGCTTTTATCGCCTAATTATCAACAGAGAAAAGTCAGCATTTCTCCGATATGGCAATTTTAATGCAGTTCTATAGAACTCCCTGAATTGAATTGAATTCAATTTAATTGCTGACTTATTCCTTTATGGTAATTAACTGATTTATTTCAAAATAACGCATTTATTTTACATATATATTAATAATTCAGTAGTAAGTGCGAAATGTTATTCAGTGGTTGCTGAAAAAGTACATTCTTCAGTAGCCGAAAAAAATATAAAAAAAATAAAATATATAAAAAGCATTTAAGCGTTCGATACTTAGAAATAATATGTTTCTGCATTTAATGAAAACGAAGCCAAAGATTATGATAAACATTTATTTTATTGTCTAAAGCTAAAAACATATTTATAGTAAATGCGTTTTTATGACTTAAGACTGTGTTATTGGATTGATATTCTAACAATTAAAATATCTAAAAATATGAATGAAAAGTTGTATAATAATCAAATGTATGTAGACAAAAAAAAGGCATCTGGAATTATTTAGTACTAATTTCATTTTTTTTTTTTTGTAGAACAGTGTACCAAAATTGCTAAAAGTTAAAGTTTCTCAGATGCTTGTAGTAACATTTCTTTAATTACATTACACGTTAGTTTCTAGCTAAAAGATTATTTTGAGAAAGAAAACGGTTTTGTGTTGTGTTTCTTAACAAACTGCTCTCGTATCAACATTTCTTATGACACTTTAGTACTATTCTTTACAACATTTGGGTATTAAAAAATGTTTACTAAATACTAATTGTTTTAAAATGCATTGCAATATTTCAATATTTGGAGAATTTTCAGCATAATTTTAAGGAAAAAATAAATAAATGGTACTAGCAACTTAATTCCGAACTTTAAGAATCATTTAATCATCTAAATAATGAATTGAAACTTTTCTGTAATAGATAAATATAAACATAAAATAAGTTTTTTTTTAGTTAGTGTGATTTAGTTTGCATAAAGGCAACTAACTCTCCCCGAAAAAAAAAAACAAGTAAACTGTGTAAACATTTTTTAGAACATTTTGGGACTAAAATATTTTTAGTAAGCACTTTTTATTCACGCCTTTTGAAAAGTACATTGCCATGTTGCAACAATATGCAAAATTTCTTAGAACTATGTAGAAAAAGTAATAAAAATTCTCTCAAATAAAACATTTTGTTTAGATAGTTTTTCCTTTTTTTCATATTTTTAAAACATGACTCAGTTTAACATTGAGTACTAAACTAAAATATTTTTAGTGAGTACTAGTTTTTGAAAGGTTTTAAACCTCATATGTAGTAGGAGCATTTCTCCGAATTTTTAATAATATTTTTGGACAAATTGTACCAAAAATTCCTACGACTTTAAAAATTTTTGCATCCTCTACATATCGTCACCTGTATAAAAGATTGTCGTATGTTATTTTTGGCAGGTTTTGGGAAATCGATATGGAAGTTTGGAATGCACTTTCTCAAAAACGCGAAGCTAGATTTTCGCCAAAGTCTTGAAGAATGTTACTAGTTCAGGAAGTTCTTAAATTACTTAATTTTAATTGTTTTTTTTTTATATATTTGAGTTTATGGAAGTTTTTCTTTAGTAAAATTTTGTCGTATGCGACATTTGTCGACAATTTGACAGACACTTTGCATGAAATACTACAAAATGTGATACAAATTTGTACTAAATTAACGATACTTTTTACTCAATATCTCCGAAACGTTTATTTTAAAGATCTTGATTAGTTTAACTGCATTATTAATTAATTTTTACTGAAATACCGAAAATTTGTTAGTCAATATCTCGGAAAGGAGATTTCCAAAAACTAATAAGATTAATCGAAATATCTTTTTTTAAAATATATAACTGCATCTATAACTAAAAATCGTCAAAACTGCGTTTAAGAAAATTGTTTATCCAGGCGACGATATGTAAGTAAAAAAATATCAAAATTTCCTGGTGGGTTTAGCACTATTTTTAGAACATTTTACCAGTCGAATTTTTTCGATGCAAACTTGAAATTTTTCTTTTATATTTTTTCTGTCGCTTCTCTTAAATTTTTTATTAATCCTTTAAGACCAAAAAGTCTTTACAAATTTAAGATTTTCGTTAATTTCTTCATTATCCAATGATCGGATTTAAACCAAATTAATATGGGACCACCTGTGAGGTAACACATTTCCTTTAAAAAAAAAATAATTATAGGAATCAGTTAACGTGGTCCAAAGTATATGCGGTAACTACATAAAAAAATATATATGTATATATTCCGACGAACTGATAACCTTCTCCTTTTTGTGAAGTCGATTAAAAAATGTTCATACCCAGCCGATATCGATAACTCTTCTATCGGGAAGGTAGTGTCTCACAGGTGGCCCCATACTAATTTTGTTTAGATCCGATCATTTAATCTTGAAAAAATTAACGGTACTCCAAAATTTTTATACATATAAAGGTCCATTCTTTTTCTTTTTGAAAAAATACAATTAAAAAAATATAGAATATTTAAACTTGGCAGGAATTTTTATTTCATAACAAAGGCATATGCCATTTAACGGTCCTAATCCTTCTGAGTTCATTTCCATGAATATTTTACAAAGTTAGGACATGTATTTTCGTTCAAAAATCTAAAATAATTTTTAAGTAGCCACACCAACCAAACTTACCAGTTTCAGTTCATTGCACTTGGGATGGTATGTGCTAATTAAATAAAATATTAAAATCTGAATGTATGTATATATTTTTGGAATTTTTCACAATTTTATTGTAAGCAACTAACATTTCATTCCACCGTAGCAGGCAAATTTTGTTTGCTCTAATATTTCTCCAATTCACCATCATTAATGAATTGTATTGATTTTGTTTTCTAATTCTAGGTTTTGGTTATGCAGTGTATTAAGTAATAATCACAACAACACAGCCACATAAAAAAAAAAAAAACAAAAAATTTTCGAATACACCTTCATCCATGCAACTAGTAGACGAAAAAGTCGTATTAATTGGTAATAATTTGAATAGACAAGAAAAAAACAAGAAAATTACGCACATATTAATTGGATACATACCACAATAGTCAGCTTAACAACAACAACAACAACAACTAAAAATGAGCCACGTACTCGAATATACTATATACATATACATACNATTAATTGGATACATACCACAATAGTCAGCTTAACAACAACAACAACAACTAAAAATGAGCCACGTACTCGAATATACTATATACATATACATAAAAGATCGATTTATATTTAGATAATTTCGAAGCTTAATGCTTTGGAAAAAGTAAAATGTTTGACATACATACACACACTTGGTCCACTGGTCCACAAAAACTACAAAATGCTTAGGTGATACTGTTTAGTTTTAAAATTTGATATTTAATTTAAGAATTTGCTTTAAACTATAAGTTGTACGAGTATTGTAAGTGATGGTAAATATTTGGAAAGGCTTTGAATAACTTCGACGATTTTGTGCACCCACAACTAAGAAAGCAACACACAGCACAGAATTTCCAAATTTATAATATTACAACTAACTTTGATTATGAAATTCAACACTTATTTTTTTTTTGTACTACGGAGAATTCCTAATAAAAACGATAATTGTTACATGCATACATATATAAATAGCGCGCATGCTTCATGATGCTTTTTATGATCAAAAAGGAGGATTTTTCTTTTCTGTTGAGTAGCTAATCACTTGAAAAATTGCATTCAAACAACAAGCAATTTATTATCTAAATTTAATGCCGCCTAATACTGTTACTATGCTTTTTGTATTTAAGTTGCAAATATTTCTAAATACCTTATACTTATGTACTGTATATATTTTTCGAAAATAACTTATTTCCACATACATACATTTTTTAATGACTACGATTTTCTAATATTACATTAGTATATGTTCATATGAACTTAGAATAAGGATATATATGCATACATATACATATATGTTCGTATATAGTGCCCGGCCATGATTCAATAATACGAAGTTCGATAAACTGACAGTTGTCTCTCTCGCACCGCTCCCTTAGCAGTGGCACCGTGTTGCTTCTTTGCAAATTTACTTGGAAAAAGTGTAGCTTTGCTGTGAAATAGAAGTATAGGCTTTTGTGCAATGTGTTTATTTGTATATGCATATGAAGCACATTTAACTGATGAAATCATAAATTGTTTTTAAATTGTATGTTTACATAAATCTCATAGTAAATTTTGAGTCCTTTTGCAGTTTTTTTACAGCTAATAAATTACGTAATTCACGTAGATATATTAACATTTCGTTCAATATTTCATTTAAAATGCTAGATTTCCTGCAAATACATTAGAATTTACAAAAGGAATTTCACTACTAATTGCCTACTTTGCGTACTTTTCTACTACCATTTTCTCAACAAGGGATTGTATTCTTCCCCTTTCTCTGTCCTTCGTAAATGCAACCTTTTGTAAGGGATTGTCAAACCGCGGTTGTCAATAATTATCTAACCTTGTATTATGGAATCATGGTGCCCGACATAATTATAAGATCCCGCTATATTGACGATTTTTTTTCAAATAAATTTTAATAATGTTTTTATAAAAATATAGTTTATTCTTCAACAAAACTCGTGTAAATTTAAGTTTCAAACCTTGTGTAAAAAAACAATCAGCCAACTTCGGTAAAGTTTAATTAGATTTCTTAGAATGTGCAGTTTTGTAGCCCATTCAATTCACGATATTTTTTTTTTTACAAAAATATATGTAGTCTATCCAGCAGCAAAAAACAAATAAATGAATTTTTTAATGTTATACAGAACTCAGGAAAATTCAAGAAATTTTCATCGAAATTCTTCACTTTTCAATTTAAATTAGAAAATTTTTTAGAATGTATGTAGATTGTGTTGCCTATTCTATTTTAATACAAGTTTCCAATCGCTAAAAATTACCATTGTTTTTTGAGATTTTTTTTGCCCAGGGAGTCGTGCATTTTCTTTTATGTGACACATGAACACAATCTTTTTATATACGGATACATATATGCGCAACACTTTTTGGCAAACAAAATTCTTAAAAATCAACGGCAATTTTTAGCATCTTGAAACTTGCACTAAAATTGGATGGGCTACAAAACCACATACTCAAAATTTTTCTAGATAAATTTGAATAGTGGAAAATTTTGATGAAAATTCCTTGTTGTTTTTCCTTAGTTCTGTATGAAATAAAATAAAAAAATAGCTTTCTGCTGTTAAATGAACTATATTTTTTTATTTAAATAAGAAAAAAAATGCAATAATAAATAAGATCGTCAAAACGTCAGGATTCACTTTGTTTTGACGATCAGTACCTCGGACGACAGAAAATGAGTTAAACCGTAAACAAGAAAAAATAAAATTTAATAAAATTAAGAAAAAAATTTAATTAAAATAAAAATAAAATAAAAGTTGCCAAAAATTGCACTTCAACCTTTTACTTTATTATACTAAAATTTATTGTACTAAAAACTGCATACTCAAAATCTTTCTAAGAAAATGTATTAAAAAGCTTAAAATTTTTACGCAAGTTTGTTGATTTTTTTTTTAATTGCGCAAAGCTTAAAACCTGGATTTAAATGTTTTCTTTTTTTAAATAAATAACCCATATACTTATATTTAAAACAAAAAAAAATTGTCTAAAGAATAAATTAAGCGTAAAATCTTATCAATATAGGGCGATTTTATCATTATGTCGGGTACTATACCAATGTACATATGTATGTGAATGCATGTTCGTATGCATTTATAGACTTATGGCCTTATAAAAAATAAAGTAGGTTTAAAAAAGATTTATTTACTGAAAAATTTGTGAAAATGTCATTTTATAAAGCTCTTTAAACCTACTTTATTTTTTTTTATGAATAAGACCATTAATATGCAATTATTTTGAATCCATTTATGTACATTTATCATTTATCATTAATAAAATGTTTCTAAAACAATTCGATTTTTTTGTAAATATTTTAAGCTTAGATTGATGTCTATATGTAATGCAAACTTTATTATTTAACAGTATAAGTAGAGCTAACGAATGTTACAGTATAAATATATTGGGCAGTAAAAACTTACAATAATATATTGCAAAGCGGACGCTGTGGCAGGTATTCCCTAGAGATGCATTTGTAAAAAAAAAAGTTTGATTTATAAATATACTTATATAATAAAATTATACTGTATAGCTAGTATTTGATGTTTTCTAAATAAAAATGTGTTTTTTTTTCGATGTGTGTTAAGGAACATGAATAGCTGGCTCTTCTCTCGAACAAATTTCTTTCTAAGGTATTAACGCAATAAACAAATAAATTGTATTCACTAAAGTGTTGAACAGTGTTGAAGTGTTTATTTGTTTAAAAATATGTATGTACATATGTACATGTCGCACACTCTCTTCAAAAGTGGCACAACTAAAAAAAAAAAATTTGGACCAATTTTTTTTTTCATAAATCAATTCATAGAATCTATCAATGCAAATGTATTTTTGTTCATTAAAACAGTTTCGATTTTGAGTACCGATTTTGAGAAAATTATTCCGCTGAATATTTTTTAAAAGTCCGGACGCATAAGTGTCCCGATTTTTCGTGTACTCTGGCCCAAAAATAATTTTTCGTACAAACGAGGCAGCACTTTCGTTATCACAAAGAACATAGAATATAAGGGAGCAATAAACATAGCGAGCATCGTTATTTTCTATGATCTTTCGTTATGTTTTATTCTGTCAAACTGGTACTTTCGCTATATTGCAGTCATTAAAATTGTCAAAAATTTTTCTTAAGGTTTTTCCTATTTTTGGTTAGTTTTGTTTTAATGAACTAACTGGAATTTAGTGAAATTATAAAAAATAATACCAACTCCCTCAAAAAATTCATGGATATGAAAAATACTAGCATACTAGATACGGCGGCGAAAATATAAATAAGGAAGATAGATTTTAGCATTCCTTGGCTATTCTCCTTTCCTTTATTTAATATTTATTATTTTTTTTCTATGAAAGTGTAGCTCGTTATATAACAAAAACCTGCTTTGTACAAAAATTAGATAAATTCGACAAAGTTTCGTAAACATTTTGAGCTTTTCAATTCGATTTCTCAGAAACATTGTGAGTATGCCGTTTCGTAGCTCATTCAATTTTTTAATTTAACAAACTGCAAATTTTAACTAGGACGTACCGTTGATTTTTGGTAAATTTTTTAGTGGAAGGCGTTGCACATTTTCTCCATAAAAAAAAAAAAATTTGGATGCTTTGTATGGAAGAAAATGAGCTAACAAAAAATTGCCAAAAATCAACGATAAGTCCAAGCTACTTCGAACTAGCACTTTGTCATTCTAAAATTTAATGGCCTTATTCATAAAAAATAAAGTAGCTTTAAAAAAGAGTTATAAATTGAAAAATGTATGAAAACGCATTTTTTTTAAACTCTTTAAACCTACTTTATTTTTTATGAATAAGGCCAAAGAAGTTTAAAATTTTGATCAAAAGTTGTTAAAATTCTTGAGTTTTTGTAAATGTTCTACAAAGTTTGATGTTTTGATTTACATGTTTTTTATAGAAATTTAATTTTCATAGAAATTTAATAAATATTTTTAAACAAAGAAAAGTAGCTAAACCATGCTAAAATATATTTTATTACACCCTCGCCACCGTACGTAGCGTGTGTATACATTTTTGCGATCATTTTTAATGTCTTTTTCTTTTGTTTTAAATAAAACTATATTGAAAGATGTTATATCTTTTCATTCTAAAAAAAATATATATTTGGATTCGATGCTTTAGAAATGTCTCGATTTTTGTCCACCGAAATCTGGTCACCATACATAGTTATAATAGTTCAGCTTGGCCAAATATTTTTAGGACCGAAATAAAAGTCCCTACCTATATATATATATTTTTATTTTTATTTAAGGTTTGTTCTATGGTAATTAAATACCATTTTTAATTTCAATGTTTTTCAGTAGGTGATATTCCTCATTAGAAATAGAAATTTCAGTTTGAAAGCTATTTCAGTCCACTTTTCTTTGATAGCAATATTAATATTAATAGGAAAGCACTTTCATTTCGGTTTTAAAAAAATATTTGCCCAACTTTAACTGTTATTACTGGACTAAAAAAGTAAAAGCTCAGGTTGACCGGTTATTTAACTTCAATTAAAATACTATTTTTCTAACGACTTGTATTATAAAAGTCTGGGACCCTGAGATTACCGGCGATTGTGCTGAAAATGGATGAGTTAAAAAATAATGAGCAAGTATTCTCAACAGCATGAACCATAAGGACATAAAAGCAAAAAATATAAAATAAAAACAAAAACTAAATTTAACTAGATATTTCAAATATTTATATGTACTCCATAAAATAGTAAAAAATATAAATACAGCAACGAATAAAAATTGTATGCAGTAAAATATATGCTGTGGCTGCTTTCGACACACGCGCGCATTGCCGTGCGCTGTGATATGTAACTTTTAAATAAAGCAAAAAAAAGTTTGATTATTTGAAAAGAATTAGCGAATAGCGAAGTAAATCAGACTAAATATACAAACATACATATAAGTATGTATGTATAACAGACAGTAAATTTTAGAATGGCAGCGCCTCTAGTACAGTAATAGCGAAAATACACATAATAAACGATATACTGAAAACAAATGTAATATCCTACGGCCCATAGCTATAACCGAACGATATTTACAACAATAAAATAGCAAATAGATGTATAACTTTAGTAATCAATTCGTGTGTGTTTTTGTATTTGCATACGAAACAAAATACATACTTACATACATTAATAAAAATGGTATAAATAAATAAATGTTTAATAAACTAAAAAATGTGGTAAAATTTTTAGATTTGTCGCGTACAAAGTAGTGAAGGGAAAATTAGGTAAAAGGCACTTAATTACCGTTAGTATCTGACCTCGTCTCTGTGGACATCGGCAACCTTCAACGATACCGTATGAATATACCCAAAATAAGGCATGCTTGCCGTTAAAGGCCACTAAAATCCATTTCCCGAATGGTATTCGTGCGTCTCGGGAAGTAGGAGGATGACGGGAAAAATACCCCCTGAAATACCCACCAACCCAGGCAGCTTGGGACAAAACTGTAAATCACAACGTGATACCCAGACGTGTGGAAATCCATCCTCATTTGCGGCCCAGGCAAGGATTCTGTAGGCTCCAACCATTGCCAAAGTCTCCAGCGTCATAGACCAGGAACGCATCCTGGCGGAGGGGGGGGAGGTAACGACAATCCTTTCTTCTTCAGAGTCGGAAGAGGACCAATCTCTTGCAGGGGAAGTGGGTCTAGAAGCAGCTCGCTGCCAACGAAACCCTTGCCTAAAACCAAAGGTAGAACTAATGCAACTTACTGTGAGGCCATAAAAAGCCCTCCGCTCATTGCCGTAATTGGGAGGGCGGGCTCGACTCGGCAGATGACTGCTGCAGAAGTTAAACGCTGCAAGAGCCATCTTATTCGGGGCCGTAATTGCCGCCGGCACTGCAGCTAATGCTCGTGGGCATGAGGAGAGAGATGGAACCATTGTGGTGAAATTTCTCTCCCAAGCAAACTGTGGATACCCTCGGATCTAGGTACGGAAATCGCTTGAGTCCCTTTTTTGGAGAATTTCTTTCATAATTGATCCTGAATGATCCTCTGCATTTATACCTCTATGATCAGACCCATAATCAGCTATGCGCCAGTGAGGAGTCTGCTTGCTAAACTTCAATGAACTATTATCGTGTGCTTTACGGGAGCTTTTTCTACAACACCTGGCGCTGCTCTTGATGCACTGCTGCACTTATAGGCCACCTGCAGACTAAATAGAAACGGATGTTGGTATAACACTGAGTGGGTTGAGGCGGAAATTGCTGGCGGCAGAGATATGAGCACTTGTGTATTTTCAAAGTCACAGAATAGTACGCCACCATTACCTTTGTTGAAGAGATTCTTTAATGTTGAATTTCCTGAGGCTGAATGTTGGTTTAATGCCACCACTGAGCCCGGACTCACACATTGTCGAAACTTCACTGATGGCTCCAAACTAACTCTGGGCCAGGATCTGGGGTCTACATCGAAGTTAATGGCTTCACTTTTCTGGTCAGGATTATGCTTCGGTCTTATGCTTCGGTCAGGCTGAGGTATTTGCAATCTTCAAGGCCATGGAGTACGTGGTAGAAAATACATACATAGATGGAGGGGAAGGAGTTTACGTGTCTGCAGTGTCGGCCAAGTTGCACTTAACGCATTGGCCAGCCCTCCATCTATTTCCAAACTAGTTCGGCAATGGAAGTCTCGATTAAATTATGTTGGCTTGCTTTACTCTGGGTGCCAGGTCACTCGGGAGTATCTGGTAATAAGATATCAGACCATTTGGCCAGAACTGGCTCAGACCAGGCAAAGGCACACCCCACTTCGGCCTCAACTGTTGCCTTCTATCTCAGAAGGTCTCTCTAGTTTTTTGCTCTCACAGAGCAGACGTGGCTGCAGACAACTTGTTGAACTGCTTATGCTGCTGGTCACAGTGGTCGATTATTCACTTGAGGTATTCCACTCCAGCTATCGCACTGCCGCCCAAGAAATAATACATTTATTACTAATGCAGAAATTTATTTCCAATTTTCTATACATTTTAAAATACTCATAAATTTATACTTAAGCTAAGGTGTAATCGAATTCTTGTATTTGCGGATTTGCTATTAAAATTAGTTAAATGCAATACACTCATTAGACAGAAAATTGGCCGAAACAAACAAATTCAATAGATCAGGACAACATTTTATATATGATATAAAAGTGGTTATACATAAGTATGTGGGTGTAAATGCAATAGCCAATTCAGTGTAGGGAAGTATTTCAAAAAATTAATCAAACAAAAATTTCACTACATTAAAAGCAATTTAGTGTAAAACAAATTTGCAACGAATTCGCTAGAACCGAAAACCAGGAATTTTAAATGAATAGTTTTCAACTTCTTCGAATAAGGTTCCTCTTAGACTTTTTTTTCTTAAATTTTTTTCCTTTATTATTTTAAGCATAAATTAATTTTAAAATTCACTTAAACTAAAACGAAATTCTGCTCAAACCCAAAAGAAATTTCTTGCCAATTCGAAAAAATCTTCAAAGTTTCAAACAAAATTTTTACAAACAAAATTAAAAAGCATAAACGAAAACGAAAACATCAACAAATACGTTCCATGCTTCACATTCCACGATCACTATCCACAAGCCAAATTCCGTTCGCAAAAAACAACACATTTACAAATTTCTCTTTTCCTACACCAGCAGCGTTACATTCCTTTACAGACGAATACCAGCATTGCGTGAACGCACAAAGTTCAACAGCTCATCGGAGTCCTCGCACACGAACGGCTTCAAGTGATGGCACGCCACATCGTGCCATTTGAGTCCATCATTGTAGAAATTATTCAAAATCGACAAACACGATTCATCGTTACCCTGTGCGGCCTCACGATTGTCCGGTTGTGGTTGATTGTAGCCGCCAGTGTGCGACCAGTCGCCGGTGTTGCGCTGCGAGGTAGGCCCAATTTTACCACCCGAACCAGACCAGAACCAGCCATTCTCATTTGGTGGCTGCAGGTCGGGGCGATCACAGCCAGCGAAGTTGCATTTGCGACCCGAAGTCCAGATGTAGCGTACATTACCACGCGCTATGCGCTGCTTGACGAATTCATTCTCTTGTGGCGTTTCCAGCGAAACGGCGTCCATGCAATGGCGACGGCAAATGTTGCGCGCATCTAACCAATCGACTTCAAGGCTGCGCGTCGGCGCATGCTCCCAACTGAAGAAGTACGAATGGGCTACACCGCGTGCATCACGATAAGTGGCGTGGCGAACACCTGCGTGGAGAGGAGAGAGAAAATAAGAGGGAGAAGAGTTAAGTAAGAGCAGGAAAAGTATGGTATAAAGTTGTAAAGGTAAGAGCAACGATGATATTAGTTAGAATAACAATGAAAACTATGACTAGGAGACCTAAGAACTTTACTCTGCTTTACTTTAAAATTTCTCATTGGCGTTTAGTCCCTAAACATCCGATATGCATAGTGATCAATACTAACTAAGGCTCCAAGTGATCACTTTGTCTATCTCCACTTGCTTTTGAGACGTAAATAACTTTTCCCGGAAAGGTTATACGAACAACATGCGGGTTAAGTTATAAAAAATGTAGTCAAGTCTTATTTATTTTCCTGTACTCAAATGTTAAGAATAAGGCTAACGAGCTTTTCAATTGGTACTGATCGATGTTGACAGTCTGTGATGGCCTAACCTGTTATTTATTACTACCACTCTGGTGCCAAATCACCATCACATGACAGAGTTGGTAAACAATCAGGTATCAGTTTGGGTCGCCATCACCGTCAACGGCAAGATCTACAGACTCATGGAAACATATTTATTATATTTAGAATGGAACCATATGGACGTGGTTGATATGTGGTTTCAGCGGAAGGGCACTATGAGCCACAAAACGGACGATGCAATGGACGTTCCATTTGCAAGATTTCTAACTGAGCTGACGGGAATTGGCCACCAAGAGGGTGTGATATGACACTTCTAGATTGTTTCTTGTGGAGCTTTCTGAAGTCGCAGATTTCTATATGCCAATAAGCTGCAGTCGAGCGATGACTTTTAAGTCAACATAACTCAGACCATCACTCTGGTTCTGTCACCACATTTATTGTAAATTGGACCAATCACAAATCGGTGTTTTTATATAATAAATACCGATCAGGACGTATTGTCGTCGTATTGGTATAGCGTCGGAACGATCCAGATTTATATCTGGTCAAGGAATATCACTCCAGCAACACACCCCAAAAACTCTTTGGGGAATTTGTATGCTGTTACTACAACATCAACAACAACTGGGAATAGTGGGGTACATAATATGAAAGTGCACAGCTTTCAGCAGTGCCCATCTTTTAGGTAAAGACTAGCGCTAAGGCTACTAATCGAAAATGTCTAGCACAGTGCCAGGCAAAATACACACGTACATATAGCCTCGCGGGGCTAATGCCCTGCAGTAAATCGCGCTAGTTTAGAACTAGCGCAGAACTAGCTCTTTAAGAGGCGGTACTGGTTCTCGATCTATCCCAAGGCAATGCTTTCAACTGCCTCTTTTTACATGGCGATGTCCTACGAAGTGGAAAATTAAATTTTTTTTTAGTCTAAAAGATTTCAGATTTCACGATATTGCAACTAATTAACACCGAAGATGGCGATCGAAAGCAGTAATCGTAATATTTGGTTTATGAAAATTCGCATTTTGCACCGTTATATTTGCATCTTACTTCAGTATTCCTTAAAATTTATTGCACACCATGATATTGCTTGTTTCAAGATTGAGCTTAAAAAGTTTTGAATCAAAATTTTAGAATTATAGACTAAGCACTTTTTCTAACTTTCGTACCAGAACTAAAATGAGTTATATAGGCAATTCACTGCCGAGAATTCAAAGTGACTCTGGTTGAAATTCAATCGGAAGTGAATCGCAGAACCTGTCTGATAAATATTTTATATGTATGTATACTCACGATTAGCACAACTGCGTGGATCCGGCAACGCTAGGCGACGTTGAGCCAAGGCGACGGTGGCACCAAAAGCCAGCAGCAACATAGTACGCAGTAGCGACATTTTTCTTCGGTTATAGATTTTCTTTACAGGTTTATATTAAAATTTTTCTCTGTTGATGCAGAATGGAACGGACTCACTGCGAGTAGTGTAGAGTAAAAACTAAAAAAGAAAACAAGTGATTAGCCCAAATGCTGGAATGAAAATGAAAGTCACACATATACATACATACATATATGTATGTATGTAGTTAGATAGATCACAGTTTGGAAAATTCGTAAAAGTCTACGCTTGATGAGGAAAATCTAAACTATTTATTTTATTTCGACAAAACAATAAAAACAATGTGCTTAATGAAGTAGTTTATCAATTGGAATTTGTTTAGTTGAGCGACTAATTTAGGCGCATTTAATACAAGCATAGGCACATACATACATACATTAATACTAATGTAGGTGACTGTTGAATTGTTTTGGTCTGCGACCGCACACCCAGTTTGCATGCTCCATTGACGTTTCTGAATGAAAGAATGGATAGAAAAAAAAAATGGTATGGATGTGTGTGTGAAAAGTTCTGTAAACAGAAATGGGTGCGCAAAAGAGTTGGCTATATTTACAGAGGCTTTTTAACTTTCATACTTCTCAAATGTAAACAATGTTTTATGATACCCAATGCGTATTACACATTTATGGGCTGCTTACTAACGCTAGTGTTTAAATGAGATGAGTGCAATGCTCGAAGGGGCATTGAAAGAAATTTGCAACGGAGGAATGAGAGTGGAGATACGATGGTTTAAGAACTTCTATCAAAGATACGAACTAGAAAATATTCGGTAAGGACAGGTTAGGTTACGTTCAATTAAGTGGTAGTAAAAACAGCTGAACACCCACCCTAAAGTTCCGCGATCGAGCCAGTTCCCTAAACTGAATAGATGCCCATTTTGACTCCAGCAGATTATATGTGGAAACAACCATGGCTTCGAAACATAAGGCTATGCAGACAATCTGGTGATCTGTGTAAAGGGGCTGCAAGGCGAAATGATCTCCAACCGCATGCAACATGCCCTGCGCATTACGCAAAGATTTTTCGACATCCATTAATCCCACTAAATCTACTCTGGTTCCGTTTACACGGAGGAAAAAGTTATCCATGGCAGAATTTATTCTGGGCGGCACTAGAATAGGTTTTTCAAATGAGGCAAAATACGGGAGGGTGTGGCTGAATAAGACAAGGCAATGCGAGCCTTCTTCACTTGCTGGCGAATTTATGGGACATGGGGACTCTCCCCCGAAAATGGCTTAACTCATTTAACACAGTTGTGATGCAGATAGTCACCTACGCATCCTTGACATCGTGGACAAAAGAGACACAAAGAACAGCTAGCACAAAACTAAGCAAACTGCAACGAATGGGGTGCATTGGCATAACAGGGACTATGCGGACCTGTCCTGCTGATGCATTTAGTGCTGTTGTGGGTATACCGCCCTTCCCAATCCTAATAGAGAGGGAGGCCAGCCTTTCGCCACTGAGAATCTTAAATACTTCCGAATTAAAAACCCGAAATATGACAGGTCATATGAAGGCCTAATGAAATTCACTAATGACTCCATAATGCACATGAGGGATGCAGTAGCTCCAGAACTAGTAATTTCTAAGAATGAAACCCTTACACAAAATCCGGAGTTAAAGTTTGGTACACTGCCGGATCAGAACCTCAAGATGGAAAAACTGGACCCTACCATTTCCAAGCAGCGATTCATGCGGTAGAGATCTGTGGCAGAAAATGCTTCAGAAGAGGCACATCTTCTAAAACATCTACATTATGTCGGACAGTCAGGCTGCACTGCTAGAGCTGTGGACCCACAAAATAACATCAAAACTAGTGTATGACTTCCTCAGCATCCTAAATACTCTTGGAAGCAAAAACACAGTATTACTGGGCTGGGTGCCGGGGCATGAGGGCAACGATGCCAATGAACAGGCGGTCGGCCTAGCAAAACACGGAGCTACCACAATATTCCATGGGCCGGAACCCTTTTGTGGGCTTACCAAAGCACACTTAAGGGATGTGATAAATTAGTGGGTAGGACAAAAATGACATAGTCACTGGAGTAAATGTCTAGGGCAAAAACAAGGTAATCGGTTCATCTGTACATAGCAAGAAGCTTAGAAAAATCTCATAAATCTAGGCAGGGAGGACCTTAGAACTCTCAATGGGTACTTAACGGGACATTGTACCCTGCGTTATCACCTCAGTAAAATGAATCTTTCCGATACGAGCGTCTGCCGCTTCATTCGAAATATGGAAAAAAGGCCCACCGGTGTGCTAGCCTATATTAAACGCCTTCACGTATAGCGCAAATGGCCACGCACAATAGACCAACCTAGAGATCGCAGTGCTCATAGCCCATAATAATAATAATATGTGGAAAATGGAGTTCCAACACTATCTTCCTTCTTCTTCTTTTTCCAGAGGCAAATCTAAAGCCGTTTGTCGGTTTGGGATGGGACCAAAAAACTTTTTCAATCACCTCTCTAATTTCCAAAGTGGCGCCAAAACTTCATTTGTTCTCAAACGGCACTGAGAGGTCCTTGCCACTTTGGATGGAGCTATAAGTTGTACTCAACGTCACTCTACATATCCGTGTAAGTTTTCTAGGGATTCGCACCGATAAGGTCCAATCAGTTGGCTCATGAAAAGGTGAAGACCTTTCGCGCAGAATAATCGATAGGATACCCGTCTTTTTACCCGGCAAAAACTCCTCAAGAGCGCCCTGTCTTGACAGTTTCAACGGCTCTGCAGTTTCCTGCAAAATACTTAAGCCTGATACCAAAGTATTTTGCTACCGTTGAGAGAGATATAAGGCACACCCTGACATTTTCCTCGGGTACGATGAAATCGCGGTCGTGATATCGGATTATATGGTCATATCCTTCACTGTCCCTGTTCTATCATTTGCCAACCAGAGCTCAGTTCTTATCACGGTAACGTAGCACCCTAATGGAAGCAAACTAAAGCTCATCAAAAACCATTAGATTTTTGCTAAGGAAATTTTTCGATAATTTCTATAAATAGAGCTATTCAAAACAAAAAGTTGTTTATTGTCGAATGTAGGTTCGACAAAACAGAATTTTTTCGAAATTATATACATTAGACATGGGGGTGTACGGCTAAATTTTTTCTGTTTTCTTGTAAGGCGGTACGGTCTAATGCACAGTTTTTAAAGCATATCAATATTTTTGAAAAGACTAAAAAGGATTTTTTGTGATAAAATAAAAAAAAACTTTGCATTGGGTATAAAAGGTACGAAGCTAGTAGAACCTACATTAGGGTGGAGCGGAAATGAAAATTTTGCAAATAGCGGGGAATCGTTTCCTTTGGACGTCAATGGAATACCCCAAATGTTTTGTTACAAAACTCTCAAAATTTCAACCCAAAAATGGGGGGCACACAGTATTAACCGATTAAAAAAAAATAGGGGATTTCACAAAAAAAAAAAATAGGGGTTTTCTACTGACGCCCAATGTAACGCAATTTTTTTTTGTGTTTACGCTCCACCCTAGTCTACATATACCACTATGTGTGCATGTAACTTTATATTTGTTTTGTTTTTCACTTTGTTGTGTAATTCTAAGTTTTGAGTAATTCTGACTGCTCTATTGAACCGCGATTTTGTTACCTCGATAAATGTGCACTATTTATTTTCGATGTTTTGTTTGTTTATTATATGCTTTTCGCTTTTATCTTTCTTCTTTGTTTTGGTTTTGGTTTGTCATTTTCATTGGTTTGCTTTTTTTTTTTTTTCTTTGTGAGGCATCCAATTGTTTTGTCACTCGCTTTCAAGTACAAACATGAACACATAATGACACTCGCCCTATCCCTGGCCCGGAGCGCTAGACAACTAGACAATAAACTAAAAAATATAATTACTTAAATAATAAATACAAATAAATATATACATAGATAAAAAACGGCGAGGAAAACTCATAAAAAAAAGTACTTTGTGCATTGACACGAACTAGTTCATTAGTGCAGATGACCTCAAATGGAGCAATCTGCTTTGTCAATTTGTTTTTATTTTATTTTAAATTTTATATTGCATTTAGATTTCTATGAGTAAATTGCCAATACGCGGTTGTGAGGTATCGTAAAGCGTCGCTAAGCTTGATGCTAGACTATGGCTATAGACACGGCTGTTTGTAGGCAGCTTACGGAAAACCAAAAAAACAATGAAATCTATGACGTGAGAACTTTTGCAAGTAAGAAGCATTAAAATCAGTTTAAAACAAGCGAATAATTACTTGCACTTGGTCAGAAGTCATGTTGCAGCCATTAATCTGCTATGGATTGCAGAAAGGCATTGCCAGAATTTACGAATTTTAATACAGGTATTCATATATATCTACATGCCATAATGGCAAAAACGAATTTTTACATAAACCGTATAAATAAAACACAGCTAGCTAAGAATTAAGAGAAGCAAATTTTAAAATTTTAGTTCTTTATTTTATTTATGGGGCGAGTCACAGTGCCGCCTAAGAAAAATCGAGAAATTCGTTATCTGCAATGTGAACTTGTTTGGTATTTTTGTAAAAACAATTTATCCACTAAAAAGAATTAAAAAGACATATCTCTAAAAAAAATTAATTATATGTCGCCAAGAAGCCACTAAAGTCGACAGATTTTATAATAAGAAATTTAATAAGAGCTTAGCCATGCGTAAGCTCTTCGCAGAAAAAAATGTCAAAAATATATTCTTTGAAATAAAATGTTGGTTTGACTTTTCTTGTTTCCATGTAGATAGTAGAGAATTACAGGAATTAAAATATTGGAATAAAATTAAACACAGGGTGTCCCTGTCCAGAAAAACATTTTTTTTAAACAACATTTAAAAAAATGCTGAATTTTAATGGAATGAATAAAAAATATATGTAAAAATAGTTATTTTTTATTATTTTATTAAATAGTACGGGCTATTAGCTTTCATAAGAAGAAATAAAAACCTGCTCATTTTTTGCAGTTTCTGAAGTAATGCGTTTTTCGCTAATGCATAAAAAAGATTCATAAAACAAAAATATGTTTGTGTTCATTTATTTTTGAGAAATGCAAAAACGAAAATCTGGCAAGCCTGACTCTATCACCGATCTCAATTTCCGTAAGG